TTTTTTTCTTCAGTATTTCCAAGAAAGACCTTTTTTTCCCTTTCTTTCTTTTTCCTTTTTTTTTAAGAAGGAATAGCTGCATGTAAGTATGTCCCTAGACTACAAATAAATTTTTTATTTTTTGGTCATGGTAGAGAAATTAGAGAGAGGCACCAACACACACATAAAAACAGCAAAACAAAGGACATGGTCTTTCAATAGCAATAGAATTTTTAGCTACTCTGTGGCTGCTCAGAATACAGATTGCATTTCCCAGTCTCCCATGCAGTTAAGTGTAGCCATTTGACTAAGTTTTGCCTATAAGAAGTGAGGGGACTGATATGTGTTCTTCACCGGGTGAGCACATGGCCTTGTGCCTCTGAAATAGGAGGGTCCCGTTTGTTGTAAATATTTCCTATTAAGAAAATAAATCACTTGTGCATAGACTGGAAAGTGTTACGTGGTTAAGAATGGTCATACAAAACAAAATGAACTACTTAGAAGCAGCGAGCTCTCCCCTTATGCAGTGTCACCAGCAGCGGTCACTCTCAGGGATTCTGGGAGCTAAGGGAAGCTGCAGAAACATGCTGCATCTGCCCCCACCTGGGCCACCTCCCTTCTGTGGCCTTGACTGAATCAGCTGGGAAGGAGCTTATCTTATGGGGTGATATGTGTGGCCTCTTTGCATCAGCCTGTAACCCATTTGACAGGTTGCAAACATGCTGTGTTATCTACTTCCACCATCACAGAGATTGTTAAGAAAAAAAGAAGTTACCTAGGTCATGCCAAATTAAACTAAAAGAATAGTACAGATTGCAGTGGACAGATAAGGTTAATACTCTGAGATATCTAGAGGGAGAGAACATAACCGCTTGGCGACAATGTCTTCATTTCTGTTTCAGAGACACAAAAAGAACTCACTTCGCGAACTCTTCATCTTAAATCCATTGCCGAGGCTCCCTTTACTTCTCATTTACTTTCTGCCTCCAGCCTCTGAACCACTCTGTCTCATTGAACCCACTTCCCCTTAGGGCACAGTGCCGTGACTCCTGAGGGCCTGGGTCAAGTGCAGAGTTTTCCTCAGGCTCTTCGAGGGTCAGCCCTCCCATGTGTCACCAAATATTACTCCTTCTGCCTGGAATACTTGGCGACTCTTCCTGGCTTTCCCAGCTTGGGGGCTTCGCTCGTGCGGCTTTCTCTTTGTGGAAGAGCTCCTCACGGCGCTGACCTGTTGAGGCTCTAGCTGTTTCCAAGCCCAGCTCAGACTCCCCGTTCCCGTGTGAAGCCTTTTGTGACTTCCCAGGCCCACTGTGATTTCACCATCCTCTGACCCTATACCTCCCGTGTGTCATCTGCCATAGTTGTGTTCTGTTTGCTGGTTTCCACACCTGGCTTAACCTCCTAGTTTGTAAATTCTCTAAGGGCAGGACTGGGTCTTACCCGTCTTTGTCACCTTGCAAGTAGTTGTCGCCCGGAATATAACTATTGGATTGAAAGAGTTGCCTAGCTCAACGACCACTCAGATTTTCTTCCTGAAGATAAACTCTCAGCAACCTTATACTTGTCACATCTTTCTCTCTATAAGTGCCTAACACTGGACATTGAAAAATTTGACTTCCTGTCATTGTGTCCCTCACCTTGGGCATCTGACATGTGGTTTTCAGGGCCGGGGCTGTGCATTTGCGTCCTGGCAGCTGGAGGGCTCTGACTGAATATTGAGCCAGTTGTCCTCCAGCCTCAGGGGAAGCGCGATTATTCCCGGCTGGCCCGGCTGAGGTCGCCCTCTCCCGGCGCCCTTTCAGTGAAGAACATAAAACAGGTGGAATTCAGGGCACTGCCAAGGGATTTTCTCTTATTTGTGATTGATTGGTTTTTAAATTGCTTGTTTAATCCTAATGGCCGTTGTTCTAGGGGAGGCCAGATATCCAGTAGCATGTGATCAAGAAGCAGTTGAGCCAAGAGGTTTGGCTGGACAAGTCAAGAGCGGGTATCATTGCCCAGAGAAACATTGCTCTAGGCTAGGAGTACAATGTGAAAATCACCCCATGACTTTCCCAGTACCCAACCTTGTCATAAGCATGATTGCTTATCCCTTGTTCTCTTTGCAGAAAGTCTTTTGCAACTGCCCAGTGTTGCCCACAATTTCCCCCATGAATTTTTCGTTCCTTCTAGTGACATACTCAGTATCTCTCTGTGGCTGAGAGCATGCTCTTGATTTATTTTGCCATTGACTGCGGTGCAGAAGAACAGGGCCTCAGAGGTCGCCGACAGGACGTGGCCATGAATTCTGATGATGGTGGTGATGTGTGAAAATTCTCCTGCAGGTGCGGCGACTATTCTCAGCATGTGGGCACTAGTTTGGCTTTTGTATGGGTGAAGTTGAATTTTTAAAGAGTTTCTTTCAAAACAGACTTTTCCAAAAGTGATCACTCTCATCTGGAAGTTACATAATCAATGTACGATTAGTATCTAATTTATCAAGGCATCAGTAGTTTCAGCCTTTTCAAGGAGCGTAACCTCTTTCTTTGGCCTGAAATTAGACATTGTAGGTATAGCTGGTGGCCTTGTAAGGGAGACCTGTTGGAAGCTTGTCTGTTTGGTATAAAAAAAGTAAAAATAAAATTGAAATTCCATTACTTCAGAATAATGAAACCTTTGAAAAATCTTTAGAGAAAAACCTTTGTTTCATCTGTATTGAAATTTTGACTCACAAATGCCCAAAGAAATGCTCTTTCAGGTCTCAACAACCTACTTGTTCTCTGAAATATTGCTGTTCGATTTTTAAAATGTATTAGGTCTGATGCTTATTTCAAAGCAAGAAACATTAGGGATAAGTTGAAAGGCTGGAAAAGGACTGATGGGAAACAAACAGCAGACGAGATGAACACTTGCGCGGCACATCTGGACTGTCACCAGGACACAGGACAACTCTGGGAGACAGCGTCTGGCTCTCTCATCAGGCTTTAGACCCCTTGGGGTTCATTTTGACTTTATCATATTTAAAAAGAACTTCTTTCCTATCTCATTCTGCCAAGAGATTTATTATGTGTTGTTTTTTTAATGAAAATGATAAAAGCCTTGGAAGAAGCCCTTCTGGGCCTTTGGAGTGATATCATATGGTATGTATTTATGTGAAGTGTGGGGCCAGCCTGGCCGGGCGTGGCTCAGCAGTTGAGCATCGACCTGGGATCCAGGAGATCAAGGTTCGATTCCCGGTCGGGGCACATGCCCGGGTTGCGGGCTTGATCCCCAGTCAGGGGCGTGCAGGAGGCAGCTGATCAATGCCTCTCATCAGTGATGTTTCCATCTCTCTCTCTCTCTCTCCCTTCCTCTCTGAAATCAATGAAGATATATATTTAAAAACAAACAAACAAAAAACTCCCAAACTGTAGGGCCAGAGGGAAAACAAGTTCATTCCCGAATCTTCTGGTTATTGACCTAAGAACGTTCAAACCTGTAGAGAATTTTTATAAGAATTTTTTGAACCAAACTGATGACAGTTACCGGCAAGCAAGATCCCAGATGCTCGGAAGAACAGGAGGACAGTTTGCAGTTTCTTTTGTGCATTTGGAATTGAGGGAGCTTAAGGGAAATTATGTGAAGGTGGGAGAGAGCAAGGCAGGGAATGGGTCACGGGATAGTTAAGATTCTGTGCTCTCTGGAGGGCGGTCATGCCTTTGAGGGGTATTACTTTGGGCATTTTGAAGGTGTGTTGACCTAGATGCACAGGAACAATGGACAGGGCTGGCTTACACACCTTTCACTAAAGAAGTTACAGGTCTGGGCATGACTACCCTCCGTGATCTGCCCAGTTAGGAGTTTACAGTTCATTTCAGCATCCCTTTGTTGCCTGCATGATATTTTAAAAATGAAATTTATGTTTCCAAAAGGAGGAAAGTTTAAAAGCATGAACAAGAAATTTTATTAGATCTGAGAACCCACCAGTAGTTCAACATTAGCATCAGAAGCAGGACTTCATTATATTTTACTCTTTCTTTCCAAGAGTTTCATCTGGGCACCTGTCAGATACCCTGGTTATTTTATCGGTTATTTTACTGGAAACGGTAGAGGGGTGCCTTCTGTGATATGAGAACAGATAGAATTTGTCCTTATGGAACATCTGTTTGACTAAATGCTTTTCAAGTATTTGAGTCAGTAGACTGTTACAATAGTGCTGTGCTGGGCACATGGTATTTTTCTTAGTTAAGTACTAGATTTAGGTCGTTCAAAACTTACAGGATGAGCAGGGGAAACCGAAACAATTCCACCTCTTATTAGATAGAACAGGGCACTGAAGGATGGCAGGTGGCCACAGGAAGTCTCGCTTCTAACTTGGATGAAGTTTGAAGGACCGTTTCATTTCTCAGATAAGTCTGTGTTTCCAAGCATTTTCAGGCCCATCGCGCTCCACCCTGCTGCCCTAGGAGTGATTCAGGAGGTCTTTGTGGCCGTAAAAGAGAAGATGTCAGGGAAGATAAGTCCTAAGACTGTTCCCTTATCTGATCTTTCATAGTGCTGGTTACTGCAGCAGTATCCTTAGCAACACTCCCATCACCTTTCTCAGCACCCCCAGCCCCTGCGCCCCAGCAGCCACCGCCAGCGTTTCACATCAGAGTCACTAAGAGTTTGTTGAGGCCAAAGGCAGGGGCCACCTGTCCCAGTTATATTGCTTCCATGTGAGGCAAAATCCCCCTCAAGTTTAGAAAAAAAATGAGGTAGGCAATGTCAGAGTCTTGCAAATACTATACTTCACCCACCTTTTAACAATGACTGGGAACAATGCTGGGTACATAGTAAGCACAATATATATATTTTTTGTAGTAAATGAAATAGTGTTATCTTTCTTGCAGTTTTAGAAATAACTTTGTAAAGTTAAGAGTGCTTAGTGCATCCAATTTATAGACGTCTTTGAAAACTATTATTATTATTATTATTTGGTTTGGAAGGAAGATTCTCAGCAGGAAATGAACTAGACTGGGTGTGGTGGGTGCTTTCCAATATTATGCAACTTATCATTTCAGAGGATAATGCGACCAAAAGAGGCGCGTTTGGAACCAGTTCTTCAGAAAATGCATTTACTTCAGTACAACTTACTCATGAAAATGAGCCACATGGTCACCGCCTGAGAAGCAGCGCCGTCTTTCTCCAGACTTCATCACAGTGTCCAGAAGAAGAGCAGGTAATACCACGGCACACCGTCAGAAACAGCCTGAGAAAAGAACATTCTTTATGAATTAAAAAAAAAAAAAAAGTGTCCGTAGAACATAAGAGACACTGGACGGTTATTGGATCACTAACTCAGACTCCAAATTCTAGGAGTGCCATTGAGATACTTCATTGAAAATCATGATTACATTTTATGATTTTAACAGCCAACGTTTATGATGTTAACTTGGTCATCCCCAATTTTCATTAAACACCTCTTATGGCCCTGGCTGGTGTGGCTCAGTGGTTGAAGTGTCCTCCCATACACCAAAAAGGTCGTGGGTTCGATTCCTGCTCAGTGCACATGCCCAGGTTGTGGGTTCGATCCGGTCAGGCCATGTACCAGAGGCAGTCGGTCCATGTTTCTTTCTCTCCCTCTCTCTCTTTACCTTTCTCTCTTTCCCTCTCTAAAATCTGTAAACACATCCTTGAGTGAGGAATAAAAAAACAAACAAACAAGAATTAAAAAAAACTCTTAAGAATCTGCCATCTACAAATTCTTCTTGAAATACATTTTAATTTGCCCTCTGTGGAACAGAAGAATTCCTTTTGAAATCCTCTGTGTAAAATGGGGGTTTCTTTGACCTGTTCTGGATTCATCTCTTTCGAACTCAAAGTAGAAGCTGTTACCTTGTTTTTTCCAGGACTTAGTCAATAAATATTCCATGCTCTCTCCCTAACCTTCAAGACTTAGCAGACTAGTCATGTTCTCCTTAGCTGTGGTTTTTAACTATCAAGGAATCAAAGTGGGAGCCGTTCTACTTATTTTTGAAAACAAAAGTCACATTTTATTTAGGTTGAAATAAACTGTACAAAATTGATTTTCTTCATTAAAAGTAACAGCAATACTTTCTGTATATTTTCCTAGATAAACCACAAAATACATTTTTGTGGGTTTTCCAGGTTTTGCTTATAAATCAAGACGAAGCAGTAGATATAGTCATGGAAAATGGTCCACTTTTTAAGCCATTGGAGTTTCTGGTTTCTATTTCATCATGTTATCCCTGTGGTATTGTGGGCAGAACTGTATTTGGGATTGTGGTTTTATACAAGGGAACAAAAATCTCTGCATTAGAAATGTGTTTATTAGAAATGTGTTTTAACTATCCTTGATAGTTAAAAACGACAGCTAAGGAGAGGCTATATATAGAGCGACGATTGTGGGACAGAAACTTTTTCCCCACGTGAATTCACTGACTACTGGCAGTCTTTAGCAATTGGAATTATATTATCTATGGAGTCTTTGACCAGCATCTAGGAAGCAAAGGATTGTCCAGTGGCGTTGTTTTCTGGTAACTTGAAAAAGTTGTATTAGGACTTTTGGATTTATCCTTCAAAGTTCATTGGATGGGTCGGTTTCCTCATGCGTAGCTAGTTAACAAAAACTGGAAGGAGAGCTTTACTGTTTGAAGGGCTACAGGATCAGTTCTTTATTTCCAGTTGTTTCACTTTCCCATCAATATGTCCTCGTTGTATTTTTCAGATAGTGCTGGAGGAAGGCCAAAAAGTTGGCAGTTCCTCCCAAGGTGACCTGAACCGGGCAGGAAAAGTGAAGGTAAGGCATACTTTAATTTTTTTCCATGGCAAGAAACACCCAAAAACCATAAAAGCAAAAAACCCCACAGGACTCATTTGCCGTCTCATACAAGTTGGAGAATTCAGCAGATTTTGTCCTTGCACTTTTTTTTTTTTTTAATTGGTGTTTGAGTAAGTTACACTGTCCACGGTTGGCTGGGCTCCAGATATTTTTTCCTCAAAGCTTAATCAGTGGAAGGGGTGCTTCCACAGAGAACCGTGACTCTAGTCCCCCTTAGCTTATACCTTTAAGAGAAATGGCAATGGAACAGAGTTTCCCTTTTTAGTACTGAAACTGGCATAATGGAAGATAAATTTTTCCTGTCGCTTGGATGCCAGGAAATAACTGCAGTTTTGTACTTACAAGCACTGGAAGCTACCACTTTTAATTCCTACCTAAGAACCGTGGTCTGGCAAATAGAGCTGAAAGAAAAAAGACCCAGGCTGTCTTTTAAATTCCAATTATGAGATTTAAATTTTCAATTTGAAGGTATTTTGTTATGCACATAATTTAGGTCATAAGCATAAAAGGCGTTTTGACATTATGCCTTTACCACGTCTCCTTGGAGCCAGTGGTGAAATTATTTCTTATTTGCACTCTTTGATATTCACCCGAGATGAATTAGTTCGGTATTGGAAATACCGTTACCATTTTGTTAATCTGAAACGCCTCATTGTCAGCTTGCCTTGGAAAGCAGTTATTTCACATGGAATAGGCTTTCCTCGAAATGTTGCTATTGTGTCTGTAAAGGTCATTTGCTCTCCTTTTTACCTGTGAAGTAATTTTCAGTTTTATTTGTTCAAAAGAGAGAACACTTGATTTTTTGCCCTGCTCACCTCTCTTGTGATTTACCTGGGGCAGGATGATTTTGTTCCGAACGAACCTTTCTCTCCTGCTTTCTTTAGTTTTTTCTCTCTGGCTCTTCAGTGTGAAGAGCATGCTGTGGTGATAATAGCCAGACCTACCCCCATCATTTGCTTCAGAAGCAAAAGCAATACAACAGCAGCAACAGTAATAATAATAAAAACAACAGCAGCAGCAGACAGAGACAGTTTTGGACTGTCTTGCTCGTGAAATGTATTCCGAGATAGAGCCTGGAACAGAGTCCCTTTTCAAAAATGCCCCAGATGGTTTTTCTCCCCTTTCAGTATAAAGATCTTACCATGGTGCCTACAAAATCCAAGCCAACTTCCAAATTTACTGCTTCTTTCAGATGTCTCTGGGAAAGCAGTGTAATCACAAAGACCTCTAGCCTGGATTCAAAAGTTAATGAGAAAATTGGATTCAGTTGCTCACTTGAGTTTTGTGGAAGTGGATTCATTGATTCTTAATTGCATTTTTTTTTAGGTCTAATATGCATAAAAATCATGTTAATCCTTTCCTAGGTAGATAATTTCCTAGGAATGGAAGATTTGGACACGGATGAAGACATTAAGCCCCGAATGAGCAAGGGTACGACTTCCATGCCTCCTGTTTCCTTTCTATACTGCTTGGCCTCTTTCTAGAAGCTACAAATAAGACTTTAGGCACCTTTTCTTTTTTTCTGGCAATCCCACCTCCATCTTCCCTGAGACAGGAAAAAATGGGAGTTCTGCAATTTCTTTTTCAATTACAAAGATTTCAGCTGAAGGTTGAAGCCTGTTGAAGGTTGTAAAGTCTTGTGCCTTAAATGAAATAAAGATGCCTTCGCGCCCCGCCCCCCCCCCTGCACTGAATTACCATGTGATTGATTTTTGGATAATTGTCTCAAGTAAAGTCATTTAAGTCAAACCCAATTTCTTAGATGCACCATGTTGTAAACTGAAATTATTTTGGGATGATACATAAAATATCAATTGATGATAAAAATCATAAAAATATCAGAATTGATCATAAACAAAATCCAAACCTTTGCTTTCATAAATATTTATTAAATATGTAAACCAACACTTAAGACTAAACATATATTGTAAATGCTTATAGGAGGGCACAAAAATACACAGGTTGGGCATTTTTTCTGATGGTTTAAATTTCTTGCTTCCTGCTAGTACTGAGAGGAACTATATACAGTGACATAAACCTGCTTAGCCAGTGAATGTGATTTTGGTTGTAGCAATCTCTTAAATTAGCCTTTTTACCTTTTCCATTATTTTCACATTGTTTTTCCTTAAACATTTTTTCAAGTTATATTTTTAATGTTTTTTTTTTTTTTTTTTTTTTTTTTTTTT